CTCGCCAATCTCATATGCCTTTATCTTTCCGTTGTTGGCGGCGGTGATTTCGCAGGGTCGACGCATGCGCCGGAAGTTGCTGATGAACTTCGGCGACCCCACCATGTGTTGCCCGCAGCAGCTGTCGAGGTACCAAGTGTCCAGATCCTCGTGGCGCTGGCGGGCAAGGTTGGCGATCTTGGGTGTGATAATGCAATCGAAGTCGCCGGTGTACGGCGAGAGAGCGAAATATCTGTTTGCGGAAATGCTCGGCGGCGATTCCGGAGTAGGAGGAGGAAGCTCGAAGTCAGGAGTGATGTCAGAAGGACGAGTTGACCAGGTAAAGACCGTTGGGTCGTTATCTGAGCTGGGCGCAACGGGGTTGATAGGGTTATCGGAAGGGAATGAAATTCGATCTCGATCCCAGTAGCGGAACCCTCTGCTGCGGCGAGCCATGCAGCTTATGATCGTTCGTTTCCCTTTGTCCTTCGCCGTGATGACCGCAGGGGACTGAGGAGTAAGTGCTGGCGACCGAGGGAGGCGACACAGTGGGGGTAGCGGCAGAAGGCTTGGATTGAGCCGAAGGTTGCTGGTTGGAGGCGTTGCGCCGTTCATCAGCAGCCTGACGCTTGTAGCACTGGTCGATGGAGTGGCCAGACTTTTTGCAATATTTGCAGAAAGTTCCCTTCTTTCCGCGTTGCTCCCCTTGAGATCCTCCTATGTAGAAGGCTAATTTTTCCCGCTTGACATTCTTCTCGTTGTACAGGTCGATCTCCTTCTGCTCCGAAAGAAGCGTGGCGCACAGAGCCGACTCCGATATGCTTGCTCGGGCGCGAAGGAGTGACTGACATTGTCGCCAGTCGGGACCAAGTCCAGAGATGACCATCGAGATGAACATGTCGTCGGGAACAGAGCCACCGCACTTCTTGACTTGATCGCGCAGATTGCGGCACCGATTGACATATGGCCCCGCTTTCTCCCCTTGTTTCATTTTGACCGAAGTCAGTTGACTGAGCAGGCGACTCATTGTAACTGGATCTGTTGCCATGTATGAGTTGCGCAGGTGTTCCCAGGATGCGTGCGCGGGAGCCCACTCCGTCTTGTACGGACGAATGCCGAGCTGCTCTTCAGGTGAGAGATTGCGAAGGAGAGCGGTGTACGCGATAAGAGATTCGTGGTAGTATTGATGCTTCTCCTGGATGGTGCCTTCCGAAGGAAAAGGCAGACTTCCGTCGTAGTACATCCAGATCTGAGCGGTTGTCGCGAGAAGCTCGAATTCGAAACTCCACGTGTAGAAATCCTTTCCGTCGAAAGGGATTGAGGTCTTCAATTTTGAAGTCAATACAAATTTGGTTTGCATTGAAGCGATGTCTGACTGCGACCGTTGTGGGTTGTCTTGTGCAGGAGCTGACCCTTGACGATTGTCAAAGGTGAAGGATCTCTCGGAGTTGACGCGGCGGTCTTCTCCAGGGAGAGGAAGTCCAGCAACGCCACGTGCATAGCTTGAGCCATCAATGCTCATAGCCTGATGGCTTTCAAGAGCGTTGATGCGTGCGACTAGCTGCTCAACGACAGCGGCGCTGACGGAGGTCACCGCTGATGGCGCGTTAGTAGTTGCTGGTGGTGGGCCCGGTGAGTCTGCAGTAGCTTTCCCTTCAGGAGCCATAGTGTTGCAGACCTTAGGATGTAATGAATGATTTTATAAAGGATTGTTCTAGGAAGAACGAGGGCTTTGACAGATCCTATAATCCACTCTAGCTCTCATACCATGCTGATACAACCAAAGGATCAGTGGATAGGATAGAATGTGTTAAGCCAAAGATGAGACAGTGAAGTCTCATTAGTGACCTTGTTGAATAATAGTTGAAAGAGAACAAGATAATTGAAAGATAGGAGTACAAGGAATTAAATAGCAACTAACTAGCCATGTACTCTGTGGGGTACATTCCCTTATTAACTGTATTACATAGCTACAGTAACCGCGACTATTGCTATCCTCGACAGTTACCGTGTTGCAGTCAGTTAACTGTCGCGCGGTTACTGGATCGTCAAGGGTCACGACCGTTGACTTTCTCAGACGGTTGACCTTCGGGTGACCCTCGATATTCCGCGTGCTCTATATGAGCTCATGCGGTACTGGTACAGTGGTACAGCTTCGGGAATGCCTTTATAACCTTTCGGTTATTCCAACAATACCTATCAGCGACCACGACACAAAGTTTACGATCAACTTCTGGACCCGTCTATAGTTCAGTTCGTCGTACCACCCCGAGACCAACGGTCAAACAAAGTAGGCGAACCAGACCATGGAGCTGCTGATTCGTGCCACGTGCGACGACCTGAAAACATGGGCGCAGCAGTTGCCGCTGATCGAGTTTGCGTACAACAACGCCACGTCATCAACGACGTAGCAGTCCCCGTTCGATCTGAACAATGGGCAAAATGCAACAGTGCCCATGACGCCGAGCCCGAACAACCCGACGTCACGCGCTCAACAGTTCCGCGAGATTCTGCAAGCTGCCCGGATGCGACAGCAGATGCAATCAAAAGGCCAATATTATCGCGAAGATAATTGCTGACCGCCACCGCCACCTGCTGTTATACTAGTTAGAGGATTACGTATTGCTTGACACACGGAATTTAAAACTGCCCTTGTACCAAAACTTCGACAACGCTATTCTGGAACGTTCCAAATCAGCAACATGGTCACCTCACTTACCGCCCACCTCATGTTACCGACAAATTGGTACATCAGCCCGTCATTCCACGTCAGCCTGCTTCGCCCATACATCCCAACCACAAGCCAACTGCCGCGCCATCGCCCACCGTCCATGACCCGCCCTGCATCGGAGCCGATTCTCGAGCCATAGAAAATTTTGAGCCAACGGATCCGGCCTACGCTTTGGGCCTAGCCCGGTCCTCGATGCCAGCATCGCACTAGCTCGCTCGCATGCACCTCGTTACCGTTTGTATTTGTACTCGTTTGACAACCTAGTGCAGCCCTCGTTATTTCGTTCCATTGTACCGTCAGTGCCTGTTGTGATAGAGCGGCGAAATATTAAATACATGTTAATTTCTAGAAGAAGAGATGTATTTGCACTTTCGAGATGTATTAAATACATGTAAATCTTTATCACCCTTTCCTTGTTCCACCTTTCATACCTTTCCTTAATATCCCTTATCTTCATTACCACGACTTTGTATCAAACTTAATCCATAATAGTGACGCAACTCCTAGTCCAACTTTCGGGACCCGCCCTAAATGTCAGACTGACAAAAGAACCACCGACCAGCGAAGAGCAGGAGGTCCCCATGGCATCTGCCTCGGCTGATTCTGCCTCCTGGCGCCAAGCGCGGCGCTGCGGGTAGCGCGAAGTAATGAATTGGATAATGTCGGCTGTAACCACCTTTCGCGCCTTCTCGCTGCGCCTGCAGTCAGATTTCACTGCCAGTGTTTGGCGCTTCGATGTGATGTGATGCGGTCCGATGTGAGTGTGATGAGCGGAAGCCCCTCCCCCCTCGACAGATGAAGTGGGGAATGGGAAACAGAACAAGGATGAGGGGAAAACGGCTGACGTTTCTCCACCGTACTAAAACCCTGTTATCTGCATTCACAACCACCGAAAACTTTCCTAACCACGAAAAATATGAGCCTGCGGTAGGATCGATTGCGGGAGGAAAGGCGTAGTGAGTGAGAAGAAGCATAATCGACTCACCCATACCACCCCACGACTCACCCATACCACCCCATCACTGCTCGTGCGAGGCACAGCCTGTTTCAATCAACACATGAGCAAGCAAGCACATCAGCTGGCGTTATTACCTTTCTATATACATCACCAACGCCAGCCCGTTTTGTCGCTGACGCCACTGTCCGCGCGCGAAGAACATCCAGCAGCACGACACAAGCTCGCAGCTGTTGCACCTGTGCGCTGACATAAAGCATCTGGTTGAGCTTCTTGAGTGGACTTAAAAAAACCAGCTCGCAGCGGTCGCACCTGTGTGCTGACATGGTGCATCCGACGCAACGCCTGGTCAAGACCCTCCGTGTTGCTCACGCACCTGGGCCACTTCTGAAACGCAGGCCTGAAGAGGGCGTACTTTTAGGAGTGATACAGAGAGAGCGAGAGCGAGTGGGAATGGGAGACACACACACACAGACACAACCTGCCACATGCCACGAGAAACCCGATGGCATCGCAGCGCGCTTGAATCAGGCCCAGGCTGAGCCAGGCCTGGCAGTTGTTGTAAAGGGCCTTAGTAGCGTACCTAGGGACCCATCGCGATCCATCGTTTCCTTCCCGCCCCCTACTCAGCCACCCCAGATGCGTTCTCGCGCTCTAGTCATGTCGCACTCACCGCACGTGCATCGACGCATGTATATAGCGCCCAGACCTTTCACCTCTCGCTCCTCGATACCACCTGCGCTTCTAGGGACGTGCACCCATCACCAGCGGCGTCGCTCTGTGCGAGTGATCTGGGAGATAACGACTTTGATCACACCTCACGGTGGCACAAACAGCCTTCGCTTTTCGTCCGGCGTGCTCGGATAGCTTTCCCGGAGATAACGGCTTTACCTTTCCCTTTCGTCTCATTGTGTGCGAGCCTGCGCTCCCGCTAGTTGTCACCGACGCTGCCATCACGAGACAGCTTCGTAGAAACGGCGCGGGTCGTTCGCATGGAAGGTGTTTTCTTGCTGTAACGGTCTTTTCGTGACGCGCCTTCACAGCTTGCCACCCACCTCTTTCGGACACGCTAAGAGTCTATTAAGAGGCGATATCGGCTCTGCTCTGTAATGGCTTCGATATTTTCAGACATTTAGCAGAACAAGAAACCGATTTGCCAAACACGGCCAAGGGAGGCCGCTCTTGTCTCCGCAGCGTCATTTCAAGGTCAATACAGATTAATCGCTAATCGTACGAAGAGAAACGCTTAGTCCCCTCCACTCTGTAAGAACACTAGAAGCTATTAGCAGCAGCTACTGCAGCAACCATTGACTGACCGGCCCTACTCCCCCAAAGATGCTTCGACCAACGACTCTTCGGTCTACCCCAAGCACCGCACCCGTGCTTGCCGTTCTGCTATTGCTGCTCCTCTCGGGCACGCACTTCCCACTCCCATGGCTGCCCGCGGCGCATCCACGGCCGCCGCCGCTGCTGATGGCGGCGGCGGCTGGGGGAGGGAACAACTACGGCGCCGCGCTCGCCCTGAGCATCCTGTTCTTCGAGCAGCAGCGGTCCGGGAAGCTGCCGGCCAATCAGCGAGCCAAGTGGCGCGGGGATTCCGGGCTGAATGACGGCAAGGACGTCGGAGTGAGTGCGGAGAAGGGGTGGGCATGCGTCTTTCCATTGTTGCTCTCTTTCTCGCACTCCCATCTGTCTTCACTTGAACCGGCGCCCATCCAACGCCCCACTGTCACCGCGGGTTGCTAAAGGGTAATGGCACCGGATAACCCTGCCCCACACCCCACCGATCCCCCGACCCCAGAGGCCACGCGGACCTGTCCAAGGGCTACTAAATCAGGGCATCCTGAGGTGAATCACACCTCAAATCGCGCATAAACCCCGCGCTTTTCCCCCCCCCACCCCCCCAACACACTCCGCACCGTCCCCAGGTGGACCTATCCAAGGGCTACTACGACAGCGGCGACAACGTCAAGTACGGGCTGCCCATGGCGTTCACGGTCGCGACGCTGGCGTGGGGAGTGGTGGAGTACGGTAGCCAGCTGGAGGCGCAGGGGCAGCTGCAGTACGCGCTCGACGCCGTGCGCTGGGGCGCGGACTATTTTGTTAGCGCGCACCCCGAGCCCAACGTGCTGTACGCGCAGGTGCGCGCAGGGGGAAGGGAAGGGGGAGGGGGAGGGTAACGGGGAGATGGGGAGGAGGAATGGGGAGCTTGAATGAGGAGGGGGAGGGGGAGAAGGAGGGGCAGAGGGGGAGTGTGGATTCCACGAGGGTAAGGGCATGGGGAGTGGTTGCGTATCGCAGGAAATTGCGCACTCTCATTCTGTTGCGTCTGATTGTCTGACCAAACCAGAAGGTCGTTGTCATTCTCCCTCATTCCCTCTCCCTCCCCCTCTCCCCTCCCCCTCCTCGTTCCTTTCCTCTTTCCCCTTCCCCGTTCCCCTTCCCCTTCCGCTTCCCATTCCCCTTTTCCCCCGTTTCCTTTCCGCCCCCCCCCGCAGGTGGGAGACGGCAATTCGGACCACGCGTGCTGGCAGCGGCCCGAGGACATGACCACGCCGCGCACCGCGTACCGCCTCGACGCCGCCAATCCGGGCACGGAGGTCGCCGCGGAGGCCGCCGCCGCCCTCGCCGCCGCGAGTCTCGCGTTTGTCGCGAGCGACAAGGCGTACTCGACGACGCTGCTGCGACACGCGCGCGAGGTGAGTGAGTGAGGGGCGCGTGTGCTGCTGGAGTGGCTGGTTCTGCTGAATGTGCGTGCTCGTCGCGAAATTACCTCTTTTCTCGTTATTCCTCTCCCTCTCCCCCCCCGGTTCCCCGCCCTCTCCCCTCCTCCGCCGGTCTCGCTTACGCGTCACAACTGGCTGGTCTTTTCGCATTCCCGAGTTTTGACTTTCAAGATTCAGCCTCGAATCGACTTAAAAGCCACCCGCCCGTGTCGTTACTCTTCCACACCCTCGTCTCATCTCGTCTCGCGTCCACCCCCGGCGCTTGTGTGTGCGTGGTGCAGCTGTTCTCGTTCGCGGACAAGTACCGGCGCACGTACACGGCCAGCATCCCCTCCGCCGCCACTTACTACCAGTCCTACTCCGGCTTTAACGTACGCCTCCCTGCTCCCTCCCTCCCTCCCTCCCTCCCTCCCTCCCTCCCTCCCTCCCTCCCTCCCTCCCTCCCTCCCTCCCTCCCTCCCTCCCTCCCTTTTTTCTCCCTCCCTCCCTCCCGCCCGCCCGCCTGCCCTCTTTCCCTTCCTCTTTTGCATTTGAGATGATTCCATGACTTTTGAATCTCGTTAGCACGCCTTTCTTGCACCTCCATCACACCGTGGCTTTTCCCTGGCGCCCCATATATCGCCTGCCATTGCCATACGCCTCCTCATTCCTTTATTCTCTTCTCTCGCTCGCTCACTCTCCCCTCCTCCTCCCCATACAACCCCCTTCTCCTCGCTCCGCCACCCCCACCGTCCCCGTCATTCCCCCGTTCTCACCTTTCCCGTCTCTCGTCCACTCCCCCCCACATCCCCCGTTCAATCCCCGCGTTCCATCCCATCTCGCTCCCCAACTCCCCGTTCCTACCGTTCACCGCAGTCCCCGCACTCCCCGCATTCCCCACATTCCCCGCATTCCCCGCATCCCCCCCGTTCCCCGCATTCCCCGCATTCCCCGCGTTCCCACCGTGCAGGACGAGCTGCTGTGGGCGGCGGGGTGGCTGTACCGCGCGACAGCGGACGAGCAGTATCTGGGGTACATCCGCGCGAACAGGGACGCGCTCAAGGGCGCCGCTACCACCGCCAAGATGTTCTCCTGGGACGACAAATACGCCGGCGCGCAGGTCCTGCTCTCGCAGGTCCGTCCTTTCCTCCCTCTCGACTTTTGAGGCGCCTCAAAAGTCGCTACCACCGCCAAGATGTTCTCCTGGGACGACAAATTCGCCGGCGCGCAGGTCGTGCTCTCGCAGGTGTGGCCTCGCCTCCCTCTCCTCCTCCTCTCGCCCACTACTCCTCATCTCCCTCTCGCTTCCTCGCTTCCCTCTCCTCCCTATCCTCCTCTCTGCTTCGTCTCCTCCCTCTCTTCCTCGCGTCCCGCTCAATCGTGCATGCGCCAATCGAGCATGCGCCATTCGTGCATGCGCCAATCGTGCAATCGTTTCATCTCCCCCTGCATCGCAAATGCTACAATCCTCCATGCAATAGCTGTCCCTGGCCCATCTCCCCCTCTCCCCTTTCTCAATCTCACCTCCACTTATCACCCTCCTTCCACCCCGCTCTCCCTCTTTGTCCTGTCCGCTCCCACTCTCCTCCTCCCGCCTGCCCTCGAGTGGTGCAGCTGGCGCTAGTGGCGGGGGACAGCAGCATGCAGACATACGCGGATCAAGCGCAGCAGTTCATGGTGTCTTTAAGTCGACTCAAAACCCGCTCCTGTTTCCCCTCACTGCCCTTGCGCCGTGCAGCTGGCGCTGGTGGCGGGCGACAGCAGCATGCAGGCGTACGCGGATCAGGCACAGCAGTTCATGTGCAACGTGCTTTCCGGCTCTAAGACGCCTGGTACGCCGCACGCAGGCAGAGACGCACGCACGCAGGGAGGGAGGCAGGCAGGGGGGGAGGCAGGAACGGATGAAGGGAGGGTGCGAGGGTGCGAGGGAGGGACAGAGGAAGCGAGGGAGGCAATGAAACGGGCTGCTGGCCTTGTCGCCGCGGAGAAACTTGCAGTACACCCCTTTTGCCCACTCTCCCTCCCTCCCCCTCATGCAACCACGCAACCCTTTGACAAGCCTTTTTCATTCCTCCCTCCTCCTGCCTCCTCATCTTCACCCTCTCCAGGCGGGCTGCTGGTGTTCTTACCGTGGAGCAACCTGCAGTACGTGACATCAGCGTCGCTGCTCCTCACCGTCTACTCAGACTACCTCGACCGCGCCTCTGTGGGCTCCTTCAAGTGCGCCTCCGGCCAGACACTCACGCCCAATGACCTCCGGAACATGGCGCAGAAACAGGTGCGTAGTGCGGTGCTTCTTTGAACCTGCTCCTGCCTGGGTGCGTGCTGCTGCTGCTCTCTGCTGGAGGTGTCACAGAAATGTACTCCCGAGAAGTGCTGCTTCAAGGATTCGAGTTTCATAGACACAGCAGATACATACCAACACCACATACACACACATTCCTCGCCAACGGACCCCTGTGTGCACACCCCTCCTCACACTGTCAAACTTTTTGAACACTTTCACACCCCTTCAAACCTCTCTCAACCCCGTGCAGGTGGACTACATTTTGGGCAGCAACCCCAAGGGCATGAGCTACATGGCGGGGTACGGGCCGTACTACCCCACGCACCAGCATGACTGCAGCCACTGCACACACACGCACACCCCCACGAGCCACACCCCCTGTGCAAACCCTGTCACACCCCTTGTCACCTCGTCACCCCTTTCAATCTATTTCAGGTGGACTACATCCTGGGCAGCAACCCCAAGGGCATGAGCTACATGGCGGGGTACGGGGCGTACTACCCCACGCACCAGCACCACCGCGCAGCGTCCCTGCCGTCCATCAAGAGCAGCCCCGCTTTCATTGCGTGCGGCGACGGCTTCTCCTTCTTCCACACCGGGGTGAGCCTTTCTGCTTGAGAGATGCTTCACAGCCTGGTTTCTTAGGTGACTGGAAGACCATCAAGAGCAGCCCCGCTTTCATTGCGTGCGGTGATGGCTTCTCCTTCTTCCACACGGGGGTGAGCAGGTTTCTTGAGTCGATGCTTTTGTTGTATTGGAGTTGCTTCTGAGAGTTCTCGAATGAGATGCGTTTTCTGTTCCTGCCTGAGCTCCTCTTACCATCCATTTCATTTCTCTCACTCAACCCCCTCCCTTCCATTCCCCACTCCCTCCCCCCCCTCCCACCGTTTGCAGAACCCCAACCAGAATGTGCTGGCAGGGACACTAGTCGGCGGCCCCGATGCCTCAGACTCGTTCACAGACGACCGAGGCAACTACCAGCAGAACGATCCTCTCTCTCACTAAACCCCCACCCTTCCACTTCCCACTCCCTTCTCCCCTCCCCTCCCTCTCTGCAGAACCCCAACCAGAATGTGCTGGCAGGGGCACTTGTCGGCGGCCCCGATGCCTCAGACTCTTTCACGGACGTCCGGGGGAACTACCAGCAGAACGAGCCGAGCACGTACGTGAACGCGCCTCTGGTGGGCGTGCTGGCTCGCATCGCCGGCGGCACGGAGAAGATCCCTGTCACTCACGCCGACCCGGGCCCGATTAGCGCGCCCAGGGGACCGCGGCCCAAGGGAGAGAATGGAGGGGGGAGCGGCGGAGGGAGGGGGCCACCGAAGAACACTGGCGGTGAGCTCACTCGGTTGTCGTTCTAGCAAGCAACCTACTAGACTGGGTGTTACTCCTAATCGTTTTTGTCCCAACTAGGCACGCCAGTTTGGCTGTAAGACGATTGCATGGTTGCTGTACCGCGTAGTCCCGTCCAGCACTCCCAGTTCCGTCAGTCTTAGGGTTTTCGTAGTCTCAGTGTCGCGCACTCTTGCTCTCTGTCCCACCGTCGTGTGCTCTGCCACCTGCAGGCAAGTTTTGAGGCGCCTCAAAAGTCGCAACTCAGTGTCGCCCACTCTTGCTCTGTTCCAATGTCGTGTGCTCTGCCACCTGCAGGCAAGCCCAGCAATGGCAATAACAATGGCGGCAGCAAGGGCAGCAGCGGAGGTGGCAACAACAAGGGCAGCAGCGGGGGAGGCAGCAGCAAGGGCAGCAGCGGAGGTGGCAGCAGCAAGGGCAGCAGCGGAGGTGGCAGCAGCAAGGGCAACAGCGGGGGAGGCAGCAGCAAGGGCAGCAGCGGGGGAGGCAGCAGCAGCAAGGGAGTGCGGCGGCTGGTGGTGCAGACGAGGCAGACGGCCGTGTGGAAGGACAAGAGCGGGCAGGAGGTGGCGAGGTACAAAGCCAACATCACCAATGTCAGTGGAGGGCGACTCAATGCCGTCACTCTCAGGCCCAGCAACTTCCATGTCTCGAGGTAGGCAGCACGGTGTGGGGACACTGCACAAGTCTCCTCCTCCTCTCTTGCTCTCTCTGCCCTCTCTTTCCACTTGAATCGCTTGTAACCTTTCTGCCTCACTCGCTCTCTGTTGACCTGCTTCACCCTTCTCGCTCTGTTGCTGCTTCTTTCCTACGCCTCATAGTTCCACCAAGATGTGATGGGTGATGCTTGAGTCAGCCTGACACAAACAACACAAGCTGTCAGTGCTTCTCAAGACAGCACATGACCAACCATTTGACTCCTCCCACTTTCCTCTTTGTGCTTCACTGGTGCAGCTACTGGGGACTAGTTTGGTCGGAGAAGCCCCGGGGACTCAGGATAGTGGAGAACGGCGGGAACATGGAGAAGGGTGCGTCTGTGGCAGTGGTGTACATTCAACCGGGAGGAAAGGCGCGGTTCCGTGGCATATTCAGGGATTGAAGCAAGGGAAGATAATTTAACAGTGGGCTGGGCGGATGGACTAAACCATCGGAGGCCTGGTTTGGTTGGTACACATTACAACCGAAGTGATGTGTCTGGCGCATCAGGGACAGAAATGGCAAGGACAGAACTAACATAATTATAGTGGGGTATACGGTACGGTAAGTGCCTTCACTGGTGTTATGGGTGGGTGCGAACGGCAAGCTTGGTGGGGTAGTAGTGGTGTGATTATGGGAAAAAGTGGATGGGTGTATTGTAATATAGATGGCTTCGTGGTGGGCTGTATATAGAGTTTTTTATGTGCATGCGAGAAGTGTAGGCTATCTAGCATAGACGTAGTCGTATTATGTTTCTTTTGTATTACAACAACATGAATATATAAAGTACTAAATATTTAGAGCGAAGTACGTGATGCAGGTGCGAAATGTGAAGCTTTGAGTGTACATTACGGAATTAGCGAGTCAGCAATTAGCGGGGTCACTCGTTCGTTGCAAGCAAACCCCTTGCGAAGAAGCATCAATACTTGCCCACCTCCAGGGGAAGTTTGTGGATGTACAGCCGATTCTAGGCAAGTTGTCGAAAAGCGAAACGGATAGAGTGGACCACAGAACAGGCCAGAAGGCAAGTCGCAGTTACGACAGGCTAGGACGGGCAGGACGGGCTAGGCCAGTTCACAGGCGCGAAACCTGGGGATTACCGAGGCAGCTCAGTCCTGAGAGCTACGCGGTAGCGCGTGTGATGGCGGAAATGACGGGTAACAGTGTAATTTGCCAGCTAGCCGACGCAGAGGGCAAGTTGGCCGGCAATCCCGTGGACATTCCGCAAGACGCGGGGCCTAGGGAATTGACGGCGCTACTTAACGCGATCCTTAACAATGTACGTGCAGGTGCATGGGAGGATTCCGCGCATCGCGGATCCCTCGCGTCGCGCATTCCGTGCGTCGCGCAGCCGCGTTAGCCCGTTCGTGTTACGAACGAGTTTTTGCACGGAAATATGGCTCGCCATTTGCGGGGAGAGGGTACGAGGGTTCAAAAGGGGACAGGGTTTAGTATGCTTGTTGATGGCGTCATGCTGGCGTCATTCTCTGCGCTCTGCCGATTCGCGCTAGGCCCATTCAAAGAGAATGGCTTCGGAGCACCTTCTTTCCTTAGCCAAAAGGCTGAATTTTTGTAAGGTTCAAGGGGCGGGTTTGCGGGTTCAGGGTTTCGGGTACAGGTGGGAGGGTTGGGGTTCCCGGCGGGTTTAGAGTTCTCATGGCACGGATGGTCCTGCAGGTGGTTGATACTGGGGCGCACCAGCTTTGGCGTTCATGCCCATGCCGTTTTTAACATCCCTCTCCCCACTTCCCATGCTGTATGTGCGAGCGTGCATGTGTGTGTGTACGTACGTGCATGGGCATGTGCATGTGTGTGTGTATTTGCATGGACATGTGCATGTCCATGTGCATGTGTACATGCGTGTGTGTGTGTGTGTGTGTGTGTAGAGCATGGCATATCAGGAGGAGAGGCTACCATACGCGTTCTACATAGACGACAGGGAGGTCTCAGAGCCCTTAGGGGAGCACCTCAGACAACACAAAGGTGCCTCTCCGCCCTCGCCTCTCCGCCCTTGCCTCTCCGCCCTTGCCTCTCCGCCCTCGCCTCTCCGCCCTCGCCTCTCCGCCCTTGCCTCTCCGCCCTCGCCTCTCCGCCCTCGCCTCTCCGCCCTTGCCTCTCCGCCCTCGCCTCTCCGCCCTTGCCTCTCCGCCCTTGCCTCTCCGCCCTTGCCTCTCGGCCCTTGCCTCTCCGCCCTTGCCTCTCCGCCCTTGCCTCTCGGCCCTTGCCTCTCCGCCCTTGCCTCTCCGCCCTTGCCTCTCCGCCCTCGCCTCTCCACCCTTGCCTCCCCGCAATTCCCTCCCCGCCCTTGCCTCCCCGCCCTTGCCTCCCCACAATTCCCTCCCCGCCCTCCCCTCCACGCCCGTCCAGTGCATCCTCGTCTATTGGTGCACGTTCGTTCCAGCCGCAAATTGCTTCACCCTGTGTGCTTCCCTCCTTCCCTCTGAACTCCTCCGATGCCTCCTCCGTAATCCTTTTATGCATGGATGGATGGTGGCTTCCTCTCTGTCTCTTCCCACCTCGCCCCACCCCACCCTACCGCACCCCTCCTGACCCCGTCCACCTCTCACCTTTCGCGCATCAGTGTCCATGCACAATTCTTCCGTTTCTTTTTCCCTTTCCTCCTTCCCCTCTTCCCCCCTGGCCCCCCTGGCCCCTCCCCCCTGCACCCTGCCCCCTGCCCTCTGCCACTGCCCCCTGCCCCCTGCCCCCTGCCCCCTGCCCCCTGCGCCCCTCCGTCTCCCCTCCCCCCCACCAGTATCGGTGGAGAAGGTACTGTCCATCGTGTACCAGCCACAGGCCGTGTTCCGAATCCGCTCCGTCACGCGCTGCTCCGCCACCATCCCAGGTCAGCGCCCGCCCTTTTGATTTGAGACGTCTCAAAGACCCGTCACGCGCTGCCTCCGCCACCATCCCAGGTGAACCCGCGTTACCATGGACCACCATCACCCGCCCCTTCTCCAATAGACCCAAAAGGTGTTGTCAGGTTAGCAGGCAGTGGTGCTGCTGCTGCACTGGCATCGCAACACCAGCGCAGCCCTCCCCTCCTCTTCCACCCACTCACCCATCCCCCCACCGCATCCCCTTCCCACCCTCTCCCCAAACTCCCCACAATCCCCTACCCGTCTCCCCCCTCCAGGCCACACAGAGGCGGTGCTAGCAGTGGCGTTCTCTCCGGACAGCAAGCAGCTGGCGAGCGGGTCAGGCGACACAACAGTGCGGTTCTGGGATGTGGACACGCAGACGCCGCTCAAGACACACACCTAGCAGCACGATTCACCCGCAGCTATACCGCTGCACCGGCAACCCACCAACGCAAAGATGCCCCGTCCCTCCTCTTGAACCAGTCGCCCATTCCCCCACCACACCCTCTCGCTCTTGCCTTCCCTCCCTCTCCCCCAGGCCACACAGAAGCAGTGCTAGCAGTTGCGTTTTCCCCGGACAGCAAGCAGCTAGCGAGCGGGTCAGGCGACACAACAGTGCGGTTCTGGGATGTGGACACGCAGACGCCGCTCAAGACGCGTGCGGGGCACAAGAACTGGGTGCTGTCGCTGGCATGGTCGCCAGACGCCAAGTGGCTCGCCACGGGGGGCATGGACGCCCACGTGCTGCTGTGGGAGTCGCCCGCTGGGGAGAAAGACCCGGTTGCTCTCAAGGTGCGTGTGAGCGGGGGAAGGGGTGAAAGGGGGGGAGAGGAGGTGTGTGGGTGGGTTTGTGACTGCTGCTGTGGCTGGGGGTTATATGAGTGTATGTTTGAACGGGCATGAGAATGTGGAGGGAGGGAAGTGAGGGTCTGGGAGGTGGACACGCAGACGGCTGGTGCACACAGGGGGGAGGGGGCGGGGCACAAGAACTGGGTGCTGTCGCTGGCATGGTCGCCCGATGCCAAGTGGCTTGCCACGGGGGGCATGGACGCCCACGTGCTGCTGTGGGAGTCGCCTGCTGGGGAGAAAGATCCGGTTGCTCTCAAGGTGAGGGATGGGGGAGAGGGTAGGAGCGGGGAAGGGGGAAGGGGTGTGGGTGTGTTTGTGACTGCTGCTGTGGGAGTCGCCTGCCAGGTAGAAGAATCCTGTTGCTCTCAAGGTGCGAGGTGGGAGGGTGGAGGGGTGAGAGATTGTTTGTGCATGCTCCTGCTTGTGTTTCTGTTTCTGTTTCTGTTTCTGTTTCTGTGTCGCACGCAACAACCATCGGTTCCCCCCTCAACCATCTCAGCCAACCCCACTTCTCCACCTCTTCCTTTCCACCCTCCCTCCCCTCCCTCTTACAGCCAGGGCCACCACAAGTGGAGAACTGCAATAGCATGTGAGCTGGCTCAACCGAAACCCCACCCTCCCTCTCTTTCCCTCTGTTTCCCTTTCCCTTCCCCCACAATCCAAGGCCACCGCAAGTGAATAACAGCCCAACAACCTGAACCGCTCCTCTTTTGCCCGCTTCCTCATCTCGCTGCCCTCCCCCCACACCAGGGCCACCGCAAGTGGATAACGGCCATAGCATGGGAGCTGGCACAACTTAACCCCACTTTCCCACCCGTCTCTCCCCGCTTCTCTGTTCTCCCGTTCCCCTCCTCTCCCCACTGTCCAGGGCCACCGCAAGTGGATAACGGCCATAGCATGGGAGCCGGCGCACGTGGCGCTGCCGTGCCGGCGCCTGGCGAGTGCAAGCCGAGACGGGGACGTGCGCGCGTGGGACGCGGTGCGGCGCACCACCGTGTTCATACTGACGGGGCACACACTGGCTGTTACCAGCCTGAGATGGGGCGGAGATGGCGTGATTTACTCGGGGTGAGTTGCAATATGTATGGGTGCATGTGTGGCAAGTGTGGGACGCTGTGCGGCGCACCACCGTGTTCATACTGACGGGCCATACACTTGCTGTCACTAGTTTGCGCTGGGGAGGAGACGGCGTGATCTACTCGGGGTGAGTCGCTGTGCGTTCAGGAACGAACAGCAACTGGGGCATTGATGGGGACGTGCGCGCGTGGGACGCGGTGCGGCGCAAACCGTGTTCATCCTCACAGGGCACACACTGGCTGTTACCAGCCTGCGGTGGGGCGGAGATGGCGTGATGTACTCGGGGTGAGTTGCAACAGCTGGGGCAGCAGTGGGGGCGTGTGCGTTTGGGACGTGTGGGATGCGATGCGACGCATCAGGGTGTTTGTTTTCATGGGGCATACACACAACCGGTCGTGACCAGTTTGTGAATCGTCTTGGGGTGGGGATGGTGTGATGTACTCGGGGGTGAGTTGGAGTGCTAACAGGGCATGCAGAAACAGGAGCAGGAGCACCAACAGCACAGCAACGCACCCTTGTTCCTGTTTTAAAGTCAACACAAAAGCTGACTTCCACTTTATCCACTTGACACCCTCCCTTGTTTCCTCTCTTAATGTCGCCTGTTCGCCCTCCCACCACCCTCTCCCTAACGCTCACTCTTCCCTCCCGCCAACGCACCTCCCCGCTGCCTCCGTCCCTCCTGAAAATGCTCAATAGTGATTTAATCGACTGACCCTTTGCTCTCATCCCGCACCCTTCCTCTCTTTCCCACCACCCTCCCTCGCCCACAGTTCCCGGGACTGCACAGTGCGCATGTGGAGTGCTGCCAACGGCGCTGCCCTGCAGCAACTCAAGGTAAGGCCGCCAGCAGGGGTGGGCCGTTACATGCAGGGTGGGCCGTTACATGCAGGGTGGGCCGTTACATGCAGGGTGGGCTGCTGCACGTCCCGTGCCAGGGTCGCGGTCACTGGGTGAACTCGCTGGTGCTGAGCACAGACTATGCGCTCAGAACAGGCGCGTTTGACCACCATTCACATGTCTGTGCCAACCTCCCTATCAGGGTGACGGGCTCTGGGTGAACTCACCCACCCATGCTGCCCATTCCACCCTATTCCACACTATTCCACCCTATTCCACCTCATCCCCCCCCCACCCCAAACACCCTCTGCCAGGGTCACGGGCACTGGGTGAACTCGCTGGCACTGAGCACCGACTATGCGTTCAGAACAACATGGTCTCTCGCCTTTGTTCTGAGCTGCATACATACTCCATGCTCGTTGTTCTGCCTCAAACATTATGTTGCGCTCTGCCTTCCCCTTTCCACCCCATGATCCCACTCATTCACATGTCTGTGCCACGTCTTCTGCCAGGGCCACGGGCACTGGTTGAACCTTTTGGCGCTGAGCACAAACTATGCGCTCAGAACAACATACTCTTGCATTTGATCCAGACTCAAACATCACGCTGAGCCCACCCCATCCCACCCCATCCCACCCTCGTCGCACACCCTCTGCCAGGGCCACGGGCACTGGGTGAACTCGCTGGCGCTGAGCACCGACTATGCGCTCAGAACAGGCGCGTTTGACCACAGGGGAGTCAACGGCCTCCCTGCAACAGACGAGGAACGCAAGGTGCGGCTGTGGGCGCAGGGGTGGTGGTGGGCGAGGGGGGACTGGGGGGTGAAGGTTTCGGGGTCCATCTGAATACCTTGCCCATACTTCCTTCGTGCTACTCATCTCGTCCCTGCATTCATTCCTCCCCTTCGTGCCCATTACCCATGCGGCCCTCCTTCCCTCCTTGCTCCTTTTCCTTTCCTAAGCTTATATTGGGCCACTCTTTCCCTCTTTCTCTCACCCCTTCTTGTCCTTCCCCTCCCAACCATTTCCCCCCACAGGAGAAGGCGCGAGTGCGGTACGAGGCAGTGAAGGGCGCGAGTGGGGAGAGGCTGGTGTCGGGATCAGACGATTTCACCATGGTGCTCTGGCACCCCGCTGCTGCCATGCAGCCCAACTCCCCGCTCGCTGCCGCTCTTAAAGCCAAGCTCACCGGCCACCAGCAGGTGCGGTGGGAGGGTGGGTGGGTTAGGTGGTGGGTGGGTGGGTGGGTGGGTGGGTGGGTGGGTGAATGGGTGGTGGGGAGGTAGATGATGAATCCCATTGTACAGGGCTTGCTTGTGAGTCGGTCTCAATAACAGCTATTCAGTGCAAAAGCAGGTGCGTGCGTGCACACATGCTGTTAGTTGTGTGTTGAAATTGCTGAGAGGGTTCATTTCTCCAGGCTGTCTGGAATGGGTTTGCTTGCATGGAATTACAAGTATGGTTTATGCGTCACACAACAAGTGTTTGCCTTTTCTTGATTCTGTTTCTGCAGCCCTCCTCCTACTCCCCTCCTTCTCTTCTTCTTCCCCCCCTTGCCCCCCCAGCTTTCTTCCATGACGATCGCTGGTAACTTCTAAAGCGGGACGGCGAAGCACGATTCGCAGTACTTTCTCCAAGTCACACGCGCGCCCACTCCCCTCCTTCTCTTCTCCAACCCCTTTTCCCCCTTTTCCCCTCCCCGCCTGCAGCTAGTGAACCACGTGTGCTTCTCCCCCGACGGTCGCTGGCTGGCGTCAGGCTCGTTTGACAAGAGCGTGAAGCTGTGGGACGGGGTGTCAGGCCGCTTCGTTGCGTCATTCCGTGCGCACGTCAGCCCCATCTACCAGCTCTGGTGCGCTGGGGGCAGGGAGAGGCGTGAGGGGAGTGAGAGGGGAGGGATAGGGGTTTCTTGCCTGCACATTGAGGGTGTCAGGCCGCTTCGTTGCGTCATTCCGTGCGCACGTCAGCCCCATCTACCAGCTCTGGTGCGCTGGGGGCAGGGAGAGGCGTGAGGGGAGTGAGAGGGGAGGGATAGGGGTTTCTTGCCTGCACATTGAGGGTGTCAGGCCGCTTCGTTGCGTCATTCCGAGCGCACGTCAGCCCCATCTACCAGCTCTGGTGCGCTGGGGGCAGGGAGAGGCGTGAGGGAAGAGAGGGACTGAGGGAAGGAATGGAGGAGGGAGGGAGGGAGGGAGGGTGGGAGGGAGGGTGGGAGGAAGTGCGGGAGGGTGGGAAGCTGGACGAAGAAGGGAGTGATGGTGGGAGAGGGAGTGACAGGGCATGGAGGAACGAGGGAAGGAAGGGAGAGTTAAAGTGAGAAAGGTAGAGAGGAATTGAGAGAGGGTTTAACAAGAGAGAGGGAGTAATGGTGGTTTCCTTGATTGTAACCACTCTCGGTGTGCACAATGTGCACACAAATGAAACTTTTGGACAGGAAGCTTACGTTTTCCACTTGACTGCAACACTGCCTGCTTTCCGCTTGGCCCTTTGTTACGACCCTTGGCTCTTTTATCCTCTGTTGTTTGACCCGTCTCTCTCCACTAACACCTCTCCTTCCTCCCCCCAACCCCTTCCTCGGTTCTTTTCCCAGTTGGTCGGCTGACAGTCGTCTTCTAGTGAGCGCCAGCAAAGACAGCACTCTCAAGGTAGAGACAAACAATCGTGCTTGACAGCTGTCACTCGTGCTGCTGATTGCACGAGTACAAGCATGCTCCGCATCACACATTATTCCACTCACCTCTGCCCATGGATCCGCATGCCATGCATGCTCATGATGATTCGTACACTCCATGGGATGTGAAAGCCGCGATTCCCTTCCAGTGTTGCCGGGCATGGTACTGTTAAGGCAGCTTTCAATACAAGTCAGCTGCCACCCATTGCGTACTCACTGGCTGCTGAGATATGGCATGTATTTGTGGTTCTTACGCCATGGCATCGCGTGGCATGGCATGGCATGGCATGGCATGGCATGGCGTGGCGTGGCGTGGCGTGGCATGGCATGGCATGGCATGGCGTGGCGTGGCATGGCATGGCGTGGCGTGGCATGGCATGGCATGGCGTGGCGTGGCATGGCATGGCATGGCATGGCATGGCATGGCATGGCGTGGCATGGCATGGCATGGCATGGCATGGCATGGCATGGCGTGGCATGGCATGGCAGGTGTGGGACCTTCAAACGCGCAAAGTGAGGGAGGATCTACCAGGGCATGCGGATGAGGTGGGTGGGATGGGAGCGCACTAGCCATGAGATGCAGATGCATGGCCACTGCAGATGCTCGTCCGTGCTCTTTTGTTCTACCCTGCTCTCCGCTGCTTTTTCTGATATGCTCTGCTTCGTTTCTCTGATGTCTTCCATTCACGAAGCTGGGCTGGCGTGGGATTGTGTGAGAGCTTTTGTTGCGTAACTAATCACAGGGTGGCGAATGAAGGCTTAAAGAAGGTGGGACAGAGGGAGGGACTTGTTTTGCTGCCACGACTAATCTTCTTTGCGTGATTGGCTTGTTGCTGTACAGGTGTTTGCTGTTGATTGGAGCCCAGATGGCACCAAGGTGGCATCAGGGGGGAAGGATAGGGTATTGAAGCTATGGATGACGTGATACAAAAATGTTATCATTCAAGTGTGACAAGAGTTTAGTTAATGCTGTGCTGCAAATACCTGGCTGAAGCAAGCAATATTGATATGTAATGATGATTCCAATTCAAATTTCACAGAATCCTGTTGCTTCCTGCATTTCCTTGAACTACTAGAAACCTGCCATGTGTGAGAATCAGTGATACGACCTGCTTTCAGTTTTGTGGGTAATGCTGCAATATGGGTCTTTCCACTCAACTATAAACTACAGATCCCTTACATAACTGTAAAATGATATGCATGTGTACAAACCACCCACACAGAACACAGTCTACTAAATAACAAAACCGCCTCATGTTCCACCGAACTACCCAAAGAACACAGGATTACAGCATACGTAACAAGGCAACAAGCGCTCCTCTCCACCCTCGCAATACCATTCCCCATGCTTCGCTTAAAGCTCCCTCGCCCGCCTCCTGAGCTCATTCAGCTCTGCTTCCACCTCCAGCTCCTTGAGTGACTTCTGTGACCGGCCCTCTGGCAGTGATGACGAGGATTTCTGTGGGACACAGAAGCAGTCAGGGGTTCATGGAGGAAAAGTGGGGGGTACAGTTTAGGATGGAAGATACGGTAAGCGCAAGAGCCAAAAGCAGAGAACAGAGGGGGGTGGGGGAGGTGTGCGGGGGGGGGGATGAGTGGGAGAAGCGAGGAGGGGAGCAGGGAAAGGAGAAGCACAGAGCAGGGGCCGGTGGGTGGGTGGGTGAGTGGGTATCGTACCTTGTCTGGGAGCAGCATATCCATCTTGAGCGCCTCGAGATCATCATCCACTGACCCCTTCTCCAACAGTGCGAACTGCAGCCACAGCCACAGCCACACACACACATACAATGCACGGGCACGGAGAGAGAGGGAAGGGAAGACCACGATGACGCTTGCTATGGATGGGATGGATGCATTGGGAGAAGATGCTCATATCAAACTTCAGTAAAGCGCTCTGACGCATGCACATATCACAGAAGTAGCTTAGAAGCTTTGATGTACTTTCTTGACTGTTTCGCAAATGCTAATGCTATGGATGCAGTCTGGAATGCAGGCAGGCAAACAGGCAGGCGGGCAACCGAGAAGGTAGGCAGGCAGGCAGGCAACCGAAAAGGCAGGCAGGCAGGCACCCACCTTGGAGGAGAGATCATCAGACGTTAGCTGGCCCACCGCCTCTGACTCCGCCTCAAGAGCAAGCACTGCTCCACATGCACACAAGGGGCAGGGGCAGGGGGGAATGGGGGGGGGGGGGAAGTGTGCAAGAGAGAAGGACGCAGCATTTGAGTCGACATGCAGAGTATTACGGGGCAAACAGCCGAGACATGGGAGTCCAAGAGTATACGCTGGAGCACCTACAAGACACAAACTGGTGAGAGTCCAAGGTGCAAGGGTTGCTGGCAGGAGCATATCAAGAAAGCCCGAGGTTAGATTCACCGAGGTTCCGATTCTGTGCAGAAAACCATCCTTCATCACATAGGCGTTACTCCACAACTAGCCCTCACCTACCCCGAAACACCCTCCCAATGCTAAGGTGACTTGCTTCGCGCCTGTGTTTCTCTTCCTCCACCATTTCCCCTCTTTCTTATCCCCACGTAATCTCCCGCGTCTCACCTTTCTCCTCCATCTTCTCAAACGCAGCCAGCGAGCTGCTGGTGCTGATGCCGCCCACCAGCTCGTTCACCTTCTGCTGCGTCCTGTAGCCCACAAGAAAAATGGAGAGAAAGAGACGAAGAACAGAGAGCGAGAGACGAAAGCGGGTGAGAGAGTAACAAGAGATTATGGAGGAGGAGTGGCGGCAGCAACACCACCGCAATACACGGGGCCAATCAAGCACAATCACAATAAGTCCGGTCCAGATTGAGAGGGACATCGCACCCAACCACTGGTCATGGTGAAGGGCCAGCGCATTGCTGGCAAAGCGAAAAACAAGGGCGGCGACTTACTTAGCGGACTGTGCGCGGGCCTTGAGAGTGTCCTTCTTTGCCTTCGCCTCTGAAATCTTGCTCTCCAACAGCTGCTCCGCACACCACACCCACACACATCCAGACCATGGGAACACACCGGCATGCAAACAGCAACCACCCGCGACAAACGAGAAAAGCGGTGCAAAAAAAGAAGGGAGATAAGCAAATTTGGTGCTTGTATGGCATGGCACTTGGCGAGTGACACTCAATCTAGACTGCACAACTGCTCGCTGATGCTATCCTACATATCCTGCGTTGCTCGTAATGATGGGCCATTCAAAACGACGGGCCATTCGAAACATATGGTTGACGAATAACCATATCAGCGGCCGCCCACTTAGCGGAACTCACCCGGGTGTTGCTGATGAGCTTGTCTGCTGTCGCCTGCTGCGCCTCCAGCTGCCCCTCAAGACTCCTCGCGTTCTCCTGCGCGACGCAAGCATTACGAATTCCGACGCAAGAATAGAAGAATGAAACATTCTGTACCTTACGACCTTTCCCAGTCGTGGGTCAAAAGCAATTCAAACGAAATAAAAAAAGGTGCTTCCCACAGTTTCCCACAGTTTCCCACAGTTAATCTCGCAGTTCACACAAAACCAGCAATAATGCGACCATACGCGTCTCCTACCAGCCTGAACCGCCTTACCTCGAACTCCTTGCGCCGCTTGAGAGCCTCCTTCGCCAGCTCCTCCTCGCCCTTGGCGAGAGCCAGCTTCGCCCGCGCGTACCTGCAGCAGGAGGAACGGCGGAGGGGCGAGAACGGGGGGGGGGAACGGGGGGGAATTAGGGGGGATGCGACGAGCGCTCGACGGAGCAATGCGAGCGATGAGCACCAAATTGTAGGGCAGACGGGATTCGGAAACTGAGGAAGCAATTGCAGCGGCACGGGAACGAGAAGACGGGAGCACGCTCATGCGCCCACACGACGTCGACCGAGCCTTCCAGTCTTGTCGCAATAGTGATTCAGCATCATAAAAGAGCACACGCATAGGCTGGTGCGAGTGACGATACGCACCAGTCGTCAGAGCTCTGCTGCGCGGCCTTGTACTTGTTCTCAAGCATCTTGGTGCTCGCGAGCACCTGCCAGATCACCCAGTCAGCATGCACGCAGAGAAATAGGGCGGAGACAGAAAGGATCATGCTGGGTGAACGCAGCGCTAAGAAGTACGGCTCCACAGCTCAACACCCATAGAAGAGATAAAAGAGTTGCGCATGCGAGAACACCGATGCGCTTGGCGTAGCGTAAGGATTCGAAGAGTAAGCGCGCGCGGAGAAGTTGCCTTAACCATCACAGCCAACTCATGCTTTTCAAAAACAGGCATGAGCAACTGAAATGGGAACAGTAAGTCACCTGTGCGGTGGCTTGTCGCAGCTTGATAAGGTCGTTCTGCATGTCCTCGACCGTCTGGTCCAGCATCTTCTCCGGGTCCTCCAACGAGCTCAACGCTGCGTTCGTGTACGACTGCCAGCGACGCGACATACAAGGACGAGGATGCGGAAGTGAGCGAACGAGAGGAAGGACCATGATGAGGAGGAAGAGAAACAGGGCTGATGGGAAGTTTCGAGAATGGCAGAGATCCACGAACGTATGCAAAGTGAACCGATAACAAGTGAGGAACGAAGAAACGAAAGTATTATGAAAGTACCTTAACGATCCGAGAAACACGGTCGAAGATATTCATCTCGGCCGCCAAGGCTCCTCCGTTGCGGCCAGTGGCACCGACAGCCTGCTGCAACCGCCATGAATCTGCACAGTTTCACCAGCAAACCACATGCGACACGGTGTCGTTCATTACAAGCTTGTTCTTTACCAGTCACCGAGCTAGACCCGATCACGTTGCTTGGAAACTCTTAGAGCAGATACATCTTTCGTTTCAGACCGCCATTAATGGCTTGACACTCGAGAGAACCCGAAGGAAAAGGACGAATTGCGGATAAAAGTCTGCGAAGCTACAGGCATCTTTGTATGCACAAATTGGCGTACCGCGGCCGCTGAAGAACGTGCTCTGAGAAGAAACAGAAGCCCGGGTTCCTGAGAGCATCCTGGAGCTCAGGGTAACACGGCTGCCATTCTGCTGAGCACCGTTGCTGCCTGTCGCGACAATAGGAAGAACCTTTGAGCCGTTTGCGAGGGCTGCCATAGTTGGAAGAGGTTGCAAGGCAAACTCAAGTTGAATGGCTTTGAGGCTGGAAGTTCTGGACTCGTCAAATGCTGGATCAGCTGTATGACAGAAATCACGAAGACTTTTTAGTTGCTGGAAATTCACATGAGATAAAAGCAGGCCAGCACGAGGAAGGGAGGTAGTCCCAAGGTCGGTCTGACGGGCAGATCGCTGAGGGCAAGAATTTCCGATTCTTGAATCCCCATCCCCAAAGTGTGTGGAGGGAGGTTTGGAGAAGGAAACTGAGGTACGGATGAGGTTCGGAGAGAAGTTTGACAAGCTTGTTCGGAGCCGCGTGACGAGGTTCGGGGACGAAATCAACGAGGAGGAGGTGCATCGCGAAGGTCTGACTGAACGGCCTGGTAACGCGGGATTGATTCGTGGCTTGCGAACAACTTCGTGTTCGCGAATAGTGGTTGCGAATGTTTTCAGGATTCCAGATGTTTGGGTGTCACCGCAAAGGCATGAAATGTGAGGGCTTCACGCAACCGACGTGGCAGAGGATTTTGCAAGCGTGTTTCTCATTGGCATTGTCCAATCGAGCAGGAGAGTGGAAACAGTTTCCCTGCCACGTCCGCAACAAATCGCCAGTCACCATCAGCACGGCAAAGGTTGAAGTCCCAAGGAAGGGGGTCCGCAACTCGTCTTCTGCCAGATTTCCAGGCAAGGTTGGAATTGGAAGGCAACTGATGCGTGTGTTTCGACGTGTTCTACAATATGAGATGATATTTGGTATTTGGCATAGTATCAAACAAAAAGCATACTCCAAACATTCGGCTGAACAAGCATGAAATTGAAAAGAAATGGACCCGATGCCTTAAACCCATGAATTTAATTTTTTATTATAATAGATTTAAAATTTGATACAGGATGTTTTGGTGCTGTTTTGAACCACATCAGCTGTGTCTTAATAGTTAACAGTTATCATTGACGAGAAATCAGTTTCAGGTGTTTAGACATGGTTTTATCTTCCTCGGAAAGGCTTGTAGTGTGTCTCTTATCGACAGCATCAAAGTTGCATCCAAGTTCACCGAATTTGCCCATCACCAGCACCAAATTCGCCCATCATCCGCCCTTAGTGCTGCTGCCTTCTAGAAGTGATTGGGGGCTCAACGTGGGGCGTATCCAGTCTCAAAGCCAGGTCAGGGTGTGCGGTTCAGTAGATGTAACATGGGCGATATTACTCACCAGGAGAAATCAGCACAGCTGTGTCCGTGTCGTACTCTCGATATGAAAAGACTCCTTGACACTAGTTCCACGATCATCGCCGCTTTCTCTGTCCAGTTTTGCAATTGGAGGTTCTCTGACAATGCAGCTACGGTACTTGTGCGCCACCAACTTTCGAATCTGCGTTGATTGTGATCGTTAGAGCATCGAACATCTTTACTAGCAGCGGTAGGTACATTCGCCTGCAGCAAGCCGCTAAGCTTGGTAAGGAAGTGGACACAACGGCGGCTAGAGAATCAGGATCACCGAGGCTTGATAACGCACGGTTGCTAGTACAGATTCTAACAACTTTGTTGTAAAGAGGTCGATCTACTTCCGATCACGCTGCACTTTGAAACAGCCACCGGCCACGGCCTCTTAGCATCGCACCGCAAGTTTCGTGTTCAAGAACCTTTTTCTTTTTGGATATAGTTTTGTTTCTTTCGAGCAAGGATCGTCCCCCAAGAAACGAGTTGCGGTGTTACGTAGATAGGTGTTGCATCCCGCCGCATCTTAGTCCGCAAGGATGATGCGACTATTTTTTGTCGCAGGAGGGAGAACGTCGCAGGGCTGGATGAGAGACAGGCCCTTTTCTCGAGTCCTAGTCTTTGCCGCTGCCGTGCTGCTGTCGGCCATGATCCCCAATTGCCAAGGTATTGCGGGGAGCTTGGGTGGACTGCCGGTTAAGGCAGATCGTTCTTGATAACATCAGAATTCTTCAAATTTATCAGGAAAATGAAATGAATTCGAAAAAAATGCTTCAGTTTCCGTCTTGCAGCAGGACAAGCATCCTGAAACACAAACTTACAAACTTCTGCATACTTTTTTTATGTGTTCATCCCTTTCGCCCAATGCACAGCGTATAACGTGTCGCTCGAGAGTGTGACACTCTTTAAACGGTTCTCCTGGTACGGCACGCCATCCGTTTATATCGAATGCGACTCCGCGAATCGGACGTACCTTCCCACCGTCAACTCGACGTTGACGTGGTTCACGTTCCAGGGCAACGAGTCGTGGCAGGTGGGTTTTGAGTCGAATCAAACGAGTCGTGGCAGGTGGTTTTTGAGTCGACTCAAAAGTTACCTCGCTTCAGGGCAACGAGTCGTGGCTGGTGGGTGGGTCTAGTATCGAGGCGCCTCAGAACTCGACGCTGACGTGGGTCACGTTCCAAGGCAACGAGTGGTCGTGGCAGGCAGGTGGGTGGGTGGGTGGGTGGCTGTCGCGATGTGCACGCGTGGTTGGCTTTATGGATGGCCGTAACGGTGGTTGCGTGGTGGATGGGCGCATGGTGCGTGCACCATGGATAGGATGGGTACATGGATTGGATGGGTGCGCGGATGGATGGTGGGAGATGGATGGTTGCGTGCTGGATGGGCCCACAGGGGATGGATGTATGCAATGCCTAGTATGTGATGTGACCGATTGGGAGTTTAACCTGGGCGCAGTGAAACAGGGTTTACTGTGCGGCTGATGAACTTGTTTTGGCTTTAGAATCTCAGATGTTTTTTTCCTGATTGGTCCTGCTGCTTGGCTGGGTGAAATGGCACATGGGAAGTAAAGTGATGAAGGGAATTGGGCAGGGTGTGGGAAAAGGAGGGATGGCAAGAAGCAAGAAGAGCGAGGAAAAGCATGTAGAGACTAAAAGATATAAAAGACGTCAGGGTGTGTGTGCGCGCGTGTGTGTCTCGTGTTGCACTCCATGTGTGTGGCTCTCTGTGTCCGTGACCTCGTTGACCTGCTGCATTGCACTGCACTGCATTGCATTCCACCACAATGCATTAGCAGCTGCTGCTGTGTCCGTGACCTCACTGGACTGCACTATCCAAACCTCCTCTAACCCTCATTCTCCCTTCTCGCCGACTCCATTCCCCCGCGGCATCACTAGCCCTCCTTGTTTTTTCCCTGTGTTTTTCCATACCTCCGTCGCTGCTTCCTTGGATTTCTTTCCTTGCCTGTTCACATGTAGCACCCCCTCTACCTCGATCCATTTTTATTTCCACGCCTCAGCCCTCAGCCAGTCACTCCTCTACCTCTAGACACCTGCGCTGCAACACCAATGCTCTGTGTTTCACCGAGCCTAGGGCACCACGACCGGCGCTTCTGACTTTCTCAACTGCATTACCCCCTTCCGCTCCTCACCTCCCTCCCCAACCCTCTTTTCCCCCTTCCCCCCCATTGCCCCCCATCGTCCCCCTGCGTGCACTCTCCTCTCCCCGCCAGCCGGTGACGCAGCTAGATCACGGGCAGTGCCGCACGTGTGCGCTGTACGAGCGGCAAGCACTGTGGTACAAGGACGGGTGCTTTGGCACGTGGGCTGTGTGCTCCACCAACTTCAGCGACCGTGACAGCCGAGGGCTCTTCACGTTTATGCAGCCGGGGAGCTTCCATGCCAACCTGGCTTGTTACGCGTGTAACCACACGGGGGTGGCACATGCTGCGGCAGAAGGTGGGTGGGTGTGTGTGTGTGTGTGTGTGTGTGTGTCTGTGTGTGTGTGTGTGTGTGTGTGTGTGTGTGTGTGTGTGTGTGTGTGTGTGTGTGTGTGTGTGTGTGTGTGTGTGTGTGTGTGTGTGAGAGAGAGAGAGAGAGAGAGAGAGAGAGAGAGAGAGAGAGAGTGAGTGAGTGAGACAGAGGGGAGGACACTTATGACTTCTCATCATTGTCAGAATCCCATGTGCACAGAAAGAGATAAGAGGGAGTCATTGTGAGTGGGGAGAGGTGGAGAGCAGGGAAATAAAGGGGGGAGGATGAGAGCGAAGTTCTGAAGGGTGGTAACAGGAAGCAATGCAAATGTTCAATGGAGGCTGAAGCGATGTGTATTGTGTGGAGTGTGAATTGGTGTGCATAGCGTGGTAAACGAGCAGAGGAAATCGACTACTATGATCAACGGGCTATGGGGTATCTACGGACCTTTCCATTCCCCACTCATTTCAACTGTTTCCTCACTTTCAGTGCTCACATCTCCTCCCTCCGCTTCCCCCCACCTCTCTTCCTTCCCTTTCTCCAAATCACTGTATGGTGTGTACCCTTCTTCCCAACCAGCCCATACTAGCCCAGACACAGGCGCCGACGTGAGTGTGTTTCTGTGGATGTCTGTAATCGTAGCAGGCATGGGCATAGTCATCATCATTGCAGCCTGCAGCGTTTTTCTCGCAGCTGAGCCAGAAGCTGAAGCAGAGCGCGTTCGTTTGGAGGGAGAACGGGCCAAGTTCATCGAGATGGGTGGGGGGAAGTCGGACGGACGGCCGAGATTTCACGACGGATATCACTACGAGGGGAGTGAGGACGAGGATAGAGGGGAGCACAAGCGGCATGGGCAGCAGCACCGGTCGGAGTTTTCTGGGAGGTTCCGGGAGGAAGCAGGCGATGTGTTGAGCGATATTGATGAAGAGGATGAGGAGGAGACTACAGGGTTATTTCCAATGCATCACACGCGCTCATCTGCTGTGCCTGGTGCACCAAAAAGGGCTCAACCTCCGCTTCCTGTGTCCTCCGTTCCTGCCCCTGCTCCTGCTGCTGCTGCTTCTGCTGCTGGTTTGGGCGTTGCTGCTACTGGTCTTACCGCCACTCCTGCTAGTGCTGGGGGTATCAGGGAGTCTCCGAATTCGGTTGAAGTTTCCATACTGCAAAGTCCCCCAGGGCGGCCCTTTGAAGCTACACCCAACCCGACGACGGCAGCTGCATACTACCACGACTGGTAACCCGTACACTTCACATGACGTATTTATTAGGCATGATGCAGTGCATCTGACTGTAGCTACTCGTTACCCATATGATGGCCAGAATTATTGGCTGTAGTTATTTGCACAGGGCATTTTCTTCCTGATACATACGTTCAAGGAGCTTCCCTAACTGATCATTCGGTTATTTACTGCCCTCACATTAAGTATGTAGAGGATTTTGTACGTGGAATAGAAAAGAGTGTACAAAACCTTTCTGCCATTTTGCTGCACCTGCAATTCTGTGTTCTTGATGTGGCGGACGTGACGGTGCCGCCAAACATAAAACCGCGCCGTGTCACCCTACCCACCGCCCCGCAACCGAGATTGTTGTGACACGTCGCGCCGAACAAGGCAGACGCCAGGCCATGTTCTCCTCCGAACCGATGAGGGCGAGGCTTGGTCTTGGTTTGAGGGAGCCTGGTTTGGTTTCGGCGGCACGAACTTGGTTCGAGTATTCGGTTCGGATTCACAAAAGACAGAAATCTTCACGGTGTGATACACTAACGCGGATGACGTGTTGTTTATTTGTGTCTTGTTGGTTTGCTGTGCTGGTGGTGAGCGATGGATGGGTTGGACCCCTTTGCTGAAGGGACATGGTCGACAGCGCGGTTCGGTTGCTAGCGCCACGGCCGAAGCTGATTCCAGAACAAGCTGCTGTGCTGTGAACGTGTGCCTGCCGCCGCTACCTCCCCTTCTCCCGCCACACAGTGGCGGACTTCCGCCTGCTCTCCCTCCTTCTCCTGCAACTCCCCCCAAAACCGGAACCGCAACCCGCCGTAATCCCGCCAACGTAAAAACTTCTGCCACCGCTCAAGACTTCACGAACTTTCGCCACGCGGTGGGTTCGGCGCCCCAAACTGGACCCGCAACGCTGGGGCGACTTTTTTGTCACCACCGCACCACTTACGACAACAAACCACACCATACCACACAAAGGTCGTACAAACCCATCAAGCAGCAGAAAGGTAAAAAGGAACATGAAAATTCCGTTTAGAGGGCCTTCTGCAGTTTTGGGTTGTCGCCATTTCTCAACCACAAACCCGCATTGCAGCCATTAGACATTGTGTAGCAGTCCAACCTAGTCTGCGTGTCCGATCTCCGACTCTCTTTATCAACGCGCCTCCTCCCGTTCCAGGCCCTGGTCATCTCCTCCTCCCGTTAGGCCGACGACATTCTCCTCGCACAGCGCCATCTGCTTGTCGCGCGTCGTACGCTCTAGTCGCAGTGCCCCGTTTTCGCTTCAATTGACCACCGTAACGGCGCGTACACTCATATATTCCTGAAACCTCGCCTTATCACTGACGACGCGAAGATATCAGCATAAGCAAAGCGGCAAACCAGGCGAAGTGTTGGTCGTCGTCGCACATCGCGCAGCCATGGCGACAAGTCGCCAAGGCGTCGTCGCACACGCGATGATTCTCCTTGTCGCGCTATCGATCGCTGGGTGGGTACCTGTTGGAAAACAACCGGCCTGAGTTTTACGTGCTCAGTTGGTGATAAGGCGGAGAGGCAAATGTGGCTGTAGAGTGATAATTCGATCCGTACAGGTGTCAGAACCTAGGTAGCAGAGTAACAGGGTAACAATCGGCGGCGAAGACTTCGTGAGTGCCTTCCGAACTACACTGATAACTGATTTCCATTAGGGAGCGCACTTGAGAGTTCAGAAAGGTGCCGTTCCGAGTGGGTGGTAGGCATGAGTCGTTCAGATAGGTAAATAAAGGGGTGTACCGCGCATGAAAGGAGGAATGCAGATACTGGTAGGCGGTAGAGAGAAAAGAAGGATAGGGCAGAAGGAGGAGGAGCTAATGCAAGAGGCAGGGAGGCGAGGAGGAAGGGGGAGTGGGAAAAACGAGGGAGAGAAACACGACGCACGATCGGTGACGTTTCGGCAGTCACGCGGCGTAAAATCACCATCCTTATTCGCTCCCTACTCCCGCCGCACCCGTTCCGCCTCTATTTACTGCGCTTACCCTTGTCAATCAACCCTATTTACTCTTCACTTACCCTCCCCTCCCCTTCCTCCCCACTTACCCCCTCCTCCTCCTCCTCCCCTTTCCCTATCCCCCTGCCCACCCGCCCTCCCCGCACTCCGCCTCTCACCGCCGTCTCTCGTGCGCGCAGGTCGCTCGCGCCAGCATCAGCGTCCACGTGGACGCACATGTGGAACCAGACCGTCGAGTCGCCTCTTAGGCGGTTCCTTAAGCAAGTTAAAGCCGGTGAGTCCCCTTGTCTCCCGCGCCTCCCGCCGCTCCTCCTCTCACCCATCCGTCGGCTCTCTCACCATCCTATCTCCACTCTCCACTCTCCTCCACTCCCCCTTCCATCCCTTCCCTCGCCCCTGTTTTCTCCCCGCTTCCCATTCCCCCAGATCCTTTTCCCACTGCGCGACGCAATTTTTTCGTTTCCCCCCGTTTTCCCCCCTGCCTCTCGTCCGATTCCTACCTCTCAGCTCCCCCCCACCCTACCCTCCCCTTTCCCGGGCCTACCTCACAAACCTCTCGCTAACGTCTCTCCCCCTTACGCGCCTTTCTCCCTGCGCGCAGCTCCGCCGACCACCTCCGCGGTTTCGCCGTCCGCCTGCACGAGCGTGCGCGCGCCCTACTACCACCCCGCCGCCATGCCGCGCATGCGCTCGTCGTGGTACCTCCAGCGCTTCCAGAATATGCAGCGAATCCAAATCAAATCTTCCAATTGGGGAAGCTGGTGGAACCCCACCAATGGCGGGCGCGCGAATTCCGTGATTGCGCTCATTCGCGCGCAGCCGCCTGTGCGCTCGGTGTTTAGGATTGTCGTTGCGGGCCCGAATAAGATCAAGCTGCTGACGCCGGCGAACGCGTACGTGGGCGTCGCGAACAGGGCGGGTTACCCGTCGCCGGCGCTCGTTGCGACGACGAATGCCAATAATCCGTCGACGGTGTTCCAAGTGTCGCGATCCGGCGTTCACTGGTTCTTATACTCCGCGTATGCTAAAGCGTACGTGGGAGCGAACGCGCAAGGCAAACTGATGGTCTGGAGCAAAACTCCCGACGCGCTCCAGCGGTTCCGGATTATCGAGACCAAGGAGGTGCCCGCGATTCGCGGCGTGAATCTCGGAAGCTGGCTGGTGTACGAGAACTGGATGGATCCGTACGTGTTTCCGATTTACTCGAATTATCTGGACGGAACCAAGGTGGCGTTCCAGAACCGGATAACGAGGAAGTATATAACGAATATGGGGACGCAGCTTCAGTGCAACAAGGACAGTTACGGGGATCTCGAGACGTTCCGCATTCAGACTCTCGCGCCCAACAACCAGACCTACGCGGTACGTTACCGCGTTACGAGTTACGCCGTTACGGCTGTGTGCTGCGCGTTACCGCATCGGAAAATTTTGTGTACCTGTTTTTCTCGATTATACCGGGTTTCCTTGCTTGTATCGCGTGCCCAACTCCTCCCCTCCCCCCTTCAACCCGTCCCCCCATCATTCCCTTTTCCCCACCTTCACCTGTTAACCGCCTGCTGCTGCTGCTGCTTATAATCACGCTGTTGTCCCCCTTCCCCCTCCCCTCCCTTTCCCCCTCCCCTTCCTCCACTCCTTCCCCCCCTCTCCTCCTTTCCCACTCCCCTTTCAACCCCCCCCCCCCCCCTGCCTCCCCCTCCTCAGCTGCTGTCGCCGTACAAGCTGTACATGAATCTGGGCAAGGGATACACTACCCCAACTGCCGAGTCCATGAAAGTTACATCGGACGTGAGTTCAATACTTGCCGCTGGCGTGGGATGGGTGGGGTGATGGCGTGGGGTGGTGGGGTGTGGTGGCGTGGTGTGGGGGAGTGCGGCGTAGCTTGCTATGGTTGGGGTAATGTGTTGCATTTGCATCGTTGACCATACTTCTCTCCTCACCCCCCCCGCACTCCATTCACCAAGCCACCCATGCTTCTCCCCTCACCTCTCTCCAACCCTCCCCCTCCCCCCGCGCCCGCATCTCCCCCTTTTCATTCCCTGACCCCTCCAACCCCCATCCCCCATCCCCCCTACTCTCCCAATCACACCAGACGCTCACCTCACCTCTTCCCCCCCCTCCCCCCCCCACCCCCGCCTCCTCACCCCTGCCCCGCGTCCCCCCATCCCCCCTACCCCCCCCATTCCCCCTACTCCCCCCGTTCCCCCATCCCCCCTACCCCCCCAATCACACCAGACCCTCTGGACCATCCTGGTGAACCCGAGCGACTCGAACCAGGTGGTGATTCGCGCGCCCAACGGGTACTATCTGGAGGGCAACAGCGACGGCAGCCTCACAGCCACGGGCAGCCCGGACCTGGTCAACATCGGGGACTCGGCGACCTTCGGCACCACGCTCGCTTTCAACATCAAGATTGTACGACGCAGGAGGGGGAGTGGGGGGAGAGGCTGGGGAAGGGGTGGTTCGTTAGGGGGGAATTGGAAAATAAGAGGGGGTAGGGGAAGGGGAGGGATGTGGGGAAGGGGGGGGGGGTATGGTGGTGGGTTGGTGAGTGAGGAGGAGTTGTTGGTATGGAGGGAGGGCTGACGGAACCAAGTCAACTGGGTAAACGGGAAGGAAGGCGTTTTGTTTGTCTTGCATTGCCTTCGCGTTGTTGCCATGCCAAACCTTGTTCCTGTCACCGTCACCGTCCCCACACCCCTTCTCACCCCACTCTTGTCCCTCCGACTCTCTGTTTCCCCTACTCCCAATTCCCTGCTAACCCCACTCTTCTCCCTCCCTCCCACCCACCCACTGCCTTATCTTCCCTTCCCCCATGCCAGATCAAGACCCTCAAGTACGACTGGCAGCTGGCATACCAGCTACAAGGCGCCAAGACGCGGCGAATCGAAAACATCCGATCCACGTTTGTCACCGAAGCAGACTGGCAGTACATGCGCTCGCAGGGAGTCAACACCGTTCGCATTCCAGTAGCATATTACATCTACCAACCTCGCCCGGACTTCCCGTTTGTCCACGGCATGGGGAAATACGTTGACTGGGCGATGAAAATGGGGAGCAAATACGGGATTCGGGTGTTTCTGAGCATGCACATGGTGGCGGGGACGCAATCGGGGACGTTTGGGTCGAGGCTCGGGTACGCGGATTTCGCCAAGGGTGGGAACAAGGCGAAGACGCTGCAAGCGGTGCGGTGGATTGCGAAGCGGTACGGGAGCAACCCCGCGTGGATGGGCATGGGGCTTATGAACGAGCCGAGCCTTGACGTGCCGCTTCCCATGCTTAAGGTGCGTGCTGTGGGGAGGGGAAGAATGGGGAGGGGGTGATGGGGAGGAAGAGGGCGTGGGGATGGGAGAGGGTGTGGATGGGCATGGGGCTTATGAACGAGCCGAGCCTTGACGTGCCGCTCCCCATCCTTAAGGTGTGTGCCGTGGGGGGATGGGAAGAGAGAGGGATGATGAGGGTTGGGGGGGGGGGATGTGTGAGGGATGGTGAGGGGGATGGGAATGTGGTGTGGGGATGAGGGGAAGGCACTGACATGAGCGCCTTTGCCATTGTGAATTCTCAAAGATTGTTGCTCTTTCGATCCATCTTTCCTCTTCCTGTCTCCCTCCCCCACCCCCTTTTTCCCTCTCCCTTCCCCTCACCCTGCAGTCGTAGCATGCATACATCGTCATGCATGGCACAACCCCTGCATATTCTCCACGCATACATGCAGAGCCATCACTCCTTGTCCTTCCTCTCGTCCCTCTTTTTTCGTCCTTTTTCTCCCCTCCCTCCCTCTCCCTCCCTCTCCATCCCCTTCCCTCAGACGTACTACACGCAGGCGTACAACATCATTCGGCAGTACAGCCCGTGTGCGTACGTCTCGATCGAGGGCCAGTACAGCCCTTTTGACATCATGAACACCATCAACGAGCCCAACACGTTCGTCGAGACCCACCTGTACGACGTGTTTCAGAGCAAGGACTTTGCGTCGGCCAGCGAGGAGATTGCATGGCTGCAGATGCAGAGGACGCAGGATATCATGAGCTACCAGAAGGTAGGGGTGTGTGTGTGTGTGTGTGTGTGTGTGTGTGTGTGTGTGTTGTTTGAGGGGGGGGGAGGTGTGTGTTGTTTGAGAGGGGGGGGGAGGTGTGTGTGTGTGTGCTAAGCAAGCATTCCCAATTTATAATTGCATAGCATTCTCCCAAACCCACCCTCTCCCTCCTTTCCTCCCTCTCACCCACAACTATCCGCACCCCCACTTGGCAGTTTGGCTGGCCGCTGCTGATTGGAGAGTTCAGCAACGCGATGAAATACACCTCTCCCACACCATCGCAGCAGCGGCTCTTTATGAAGCACCTTAGCAAACCCCTCTCCCTCTCTTGTTCCCACCCCCACCGCCCCACCCCACTCGATAGTTTGGCCGGCCGCTGCTGATCGGAGAGTTCAGCAACGCGATGAAATACACCTCTCCCACACCAGCGGAGCAGCAGCTCTTCTCGCAAGCGCAGATGCAGACCTACGCCCAGGCCAATGCTGGGTGGTTCTTCTGGTCGCTCAAGATCAAGAAGTCCAGTGAGTGTTGTGGATCAAGTGGTCAAAAAAAGCTTGGTGGTTGCCCGTGGTTGTAGTGTTCTCTCTCCCTTCCACTCTGTCTCTCTCAGTCTCAGTCTCTCACTCTCACACTCATACACTCAAATACCCACTCAGACACACTGTCCCTGTCACACACCTGCTTAATCCGTCCATCCTCCCCTGACCCTCCCCATCATCCCCCACCCTCCCCTGCCCTTGACCAGACACACCCCACTGGGACTTCAAGGCGAGTACAGACAAGGGTTGGCTGCCTAAGAACACAAATGGCTACTGGTACTGAGGAGGAGGAGACCAGGAGAAGGGCATGGGTTGGGTTGGGATTTTTTTCTCTCTCTGTGTTATTCTCAATTTAACTAGCAGTTAGGGCTTGCATGGGAGTAGATACACTAATGAGTTTGTGTGGGTATTTAAGAATTATATTGGCAGCTGTAATGCGGGCAAGGCTCCCTAAGAGAACAAGCAGTCAATGGGTAGTGCTGAACTGAGGATGCGAAGGGTTAAGGGGGAAACTATGGTAGGTGAGGTTGTGGCATTGGTTGTGTTTGGTTTGGGTCTGGGTGCGACTGTTCTAGCTTCCTTTCATGGCGCTGCTTGTCACAGATATGCATGCAGCTTCAACAAGGTCTGTTAATGGAGCGCAGCTGAGTTGTGTGGCAGTGAAAGCTTGGTGTGGCTGAGTTAGGTTCCAGTTTCAGGTGCTACTAAAATAGGTACCGTACCGGTACGGTATGTGTGAGTGGACGGGGTGGGGTTGCAGGGAGGGTTGCTGGTCATGGTCCTGTGTTGATCCAACAGCCTTGCCAGCTTTTTGTGGGAATCAGGGCCCAAAATATCAGGGTAAAATGCCCTGATTACCCTGGGGGCCGGCCGTTTTTTCAGAGTTACCCTTTCAAAATCAGGCTTCCAAGATTTTTTCCCTTACGCAAAAAGAGTATGTTTTTTTTTACACTGATAGCGATTTCGGCTACCCTGGCTGTATCAGGGTGCGCTGTACATTATACTGATACAGAATCCTCTGTAGCGAGGATTTTCGTTGCGAAATGGCAAAACCGACCCAATCGCCCACAAGATTTGAGCCCGGAACCTTGAGATCTGAATATGCACATATAACCAACTGAGAGACACACCAGTAGTTTCGTATTGATTGTAGCACATTGTGGCTTTCGCTACACTAGACTGGCAAAACACCCCCTTAATCGAGCCACACCACTGCCAGCTGAGCAGAGTTGCGCTTCAAGGACAGCTTCGTGCTACTTTATTGTTACTGTAGAAATTACTAGTAGTGAAAACAGACTAGATATAGAATTACCCTGCCGAAATCAGTGTAATGGTAGATTTACCCTGCTGCCAACAGGGTACGGAAAATTTTACCCTAGGGGTCTGTTCAAGGAGGGGCTGTTACCCTGATTTGTAAGGGTAGGCCAAAACCAATTTTGGGCCCTGGTGGGAATGTTATGGTATGCTACCGAACCTCCCTTGCTCCTGCCTAGAGAATAGCATGCAGTGTAATGTGTTTCAAGTGGTGCGCACATTATAGATCAATTTAATATGTGCATTTCTACAGTATTTGTGTTCTTCTGAGGTGACTGTTGGTAAAGCACACGGTAGTTTGGATGCATGAAAAAGGATGGAGTGGTTCCCTCCCCAACGCCTGACGAATGACAATGTAATGCAACCCTTCAAAGCTATAACGGAAAGAAAGCGAAGAATGACATCGCCATAATCAACTGCTGGTACCGGTACCGTACGATCTAGTCTAGAGCATGCAGCAACGTACAGTGGTAGTAACAGAACAGAGCATGCCAGCAACAATATGCTTCTTCGTGAATCGTGAATGCAACAGGACCTTGTTAATGCTAGCACCACCCTACTACGGTACCCTACAGGGACCAGCCACCAGAGTCCCGAACCCTGTGCCCCTACCTACCCTAGATAATCATAGCAAGAAACCGGTGCTTGCTTTCTCCTCACGAACTGCACTAGATGGGCTCTGGGTGTTCTTGGCTAGTCGTCAATGCCTGTAGACGCTGGAGTTTTTTTGTCTTGTTTGTGTCTCAGCAAACCCGTAGCCCTGGCTCTTGCTGCTGTTGTGGCGGCAGCAGCGGTTGCAGCTGCGGTAGCGGCAGCAGCGGTTGCAGGTGCGGTAGCACAGCAGAAGCAGCAGCAGCAGCAGCGGGTGCAGCAGTGGCAGCAGCATTTCTTCAGAGCCTAATGATCATACTCCGTCAAAACGACCCATGGTCACATGCTCCTGCCTTCACGCCCTCTGCACCTGCTCCTCCTGATGCTACAGCAGGACGACAGGCTTCATCTTCCTTTGCCACTGCCTCTGCCACCATTGCCTCTGCCACCATTGCCTCTGCCACCATTGCCTCTGCCACCATTGCCTCTGCCATGTTCGTGCTATTTTTAAGAATTACGAGTAACTCCTACTGATAAACAGCAGGACGACAGGCTTCATCTTCCTTTGCCACTGCCTCTGCCACCATAGCTTCGGCTCCTGCCTGCCATATAGGTGTTACTTTTGAGAATTCTCAAAAGCAGCTCCTCCTGATGCTACAGCAGGACGATTACCTGCATCTTCCTTTGCCACTGCCTCCCCCCCTACTTCTCCTCCTGCTCCTGCCGCTGCTGCTGTGTCGGCTGTATCGGCTGCATGTGCAGCAGCATCATCCCCACCTCTACTGTCCGTGGTGGTGGTGGTAGCAGCTGCTGCAGCTTGCTTTAGCTCCGACACCGGTGCTTTATACGGCCGGCCTAGACGTGCCCTCCACCCACCAAAACCACCACCACCACCCCCTCCTCCCCCCGCAGAACCAGCACCAGCGTCAGCACAGTTACCATTCACGCCGCTGCTGTTCCCTGGCTTCTTATCAGCCTCAGCATCAGCATCAGTGGCAGCACCACTGCTGGTAGAGGACGGTGCAGGAGAGGAGAAGAAGTGCAGAGAGGAGCGGGCGCTAGCAGATCCCCTAAGGGGTGTCCCGCCTCCTGAGGAGGAAGAGGAGGAGGAGATGGAGGGTGTGCGGGCGGGAGAGAGGAAGGAGCGCAGACCCACTAGTGGTGTTGTCCATCCGGAAGAGGAGGGCTTCTGGAGGAGGGGAGGGTGGGAGAGAGGGTGGGAGAGCGGGTGGGAGAGAGGGAGTGAGAAGAGGACTTTTGAGACATCTCAAGGAGGAAGGAGCGCAGACCCACTAGTGGTGTTGTCCATCCGGAAGAGGAAGGCTTCCGAAAGAGGGGAGGGTGGGAGAGAGGATGAAAGAGAAATTGAGAGAGAGGGTGTGAGAAGGGGATGTGGCAGAGGGCGTGAGAAGGGGAGGAGCGAAGAGAGGGGAGGATGAGCAAAGAAAACTTAGATTCTCACTGCCTTCTTCTCCTCAAGAAATGTCTTACAAACTCCTAAGCGAGCTTCCCCAGCCAACACCCCTCTCCCCCTCCTCCTCCCTCTATTCTCCCGTCCCCTCCACCACGACCCACTGTGATTCCTTGTAAAAAACACTTCAAAGGACAGATTCATGGATCTCAGTAAGTCGCTCCAAGCAGCCTTGCCGAAAGGCGAACAACAGTCATGCAACCCCATCCTCCTTCTGAAGCTTCTACAAAAGATGGAAACCAAAGTAGCCACCGCTTATCAGGGTTCAGGAAGTCACCTATTTCTGAGGTGAAAATTTTGAGAAGAAAGAAAAAATAAACCCACCTTCTTTCCGCGCCGGGCGATGTCGTCCTCCTCGCCCTCTGCCAGCGGTGGCGGCGGGTGCTGATCCAGGAAGGCGATGAAGCGGCGCAGCTGCTTGAGGTATTCGGGGAAGAACTCAAGGTCGCAGTGCCGCGCGCCCTCTATGAACAGCGGCTCAAACGGCCGCTTGCACACCGCTGCCAGGCCCCTCCCGTGCGACACGTCCACCACATCATCTGCTGTGCCCTGGTGAGAGGGGAAGAGGGGTGGAGTGGGGAAGTGGGGGGAAAAGGGGAGCGCCAGCAGGGGGTTGGGGGGTGGGGGGGGGGAGGGTGGGGCAGGGATTGAAGGGGACAGATCAGTGTCGTGCGCCCTGGTTCTTCATGGAAGGAAGGAAGGCGATGAAGCGGCGGAGCTGCTTGAGGTATTCGGGGAAGAACTCGAGGTCGCAGTGCCGCGCGCCCTCTATGAACAGCGGCTCGAAGGGCCCCTTGCACACCGCTGCTAGACCCCTCCCGTGGGAGACATCTACTACATCGTCTGCCGTGCCCTGGGATGGGGCGGGGAGACCAGCCAACAGGGAGATGCAGGGGCACAGAGGTGCAGGGGTTGGCGTAGAGGGAAAGGAGGGGTGGCGGATGGGGGTTGGGAAGTGCGGTGCAGGGTTAGGAGGGGGGTAGGGGGTGGGAAGCATTTGCTTAGGAGAGCAAATGACAGTCTGCCCACGGCTGCCAACCCCCTGCCTTTTTGAGAATTCTCAAAAACCATGCCGTGTGACACGTCCATTGTTGAGGCGCCTCAAAAGACCACCTTTGAGAATTCTCAACAGTCGTCTGCCGTGCATTGGAGGAATGAGAAGGGGGTGGGGTGAGGAGTGGAGTTGCGGCGGTTACAAGACACGTCTGTTCACCACCACTGACAGGCCCCTCCCGTGGGGCATGAAGGCTATATTGAAATCATTTTTGAGAATTCTCAAAAGTGATTTCAATATACCCGTGGGGCATGTCCTGTGGCCGGGGAGGGGGGGGATGGGGGGGGGGATGAGGATCATTCGGAGGTGGATGGGGGAAAAAGGGTAGTGTGTTAGCGGCATGGGGAGGGAGTAGTGGGGTAGGGGGGAAATGGAAGAAACGATGAGAGTGGGTGGGTGGATTGGGAGCAAATTTGAGGGAACAGGAATGGGGGGCTGTGGGAGACCGTGGGTGGGAGAGGGGGGTTGCAGGGAGCGATACAGTGCTAACGTAGCAAGGGCTGTCTCTTTAAATGAATTTGCTGCCGTGAGAATTGAGTATGAGTCTTTTTGTGTGTATGGGGGAGGAGTTCATGGGTGTGTAGCTTTGTGTGTGCATGTTTGTGGTGTGGCTGTGGTGTGTGTGTGGCTGTGGTGGGTGTGTGTGTGTGTGTGTGTGTGTGTGCGCGCGCGCGCGTGCGTGCGTGTGTGTGTGTATGCGTGTATGCCTATGTGAAGCTGTGAGTATGTGTGGGTGCATCTATGTGTGTGCATATGTCCAAGTTTAGTTGAGCATGTCTGCATGTGGGCATGTGGGCATGCGTACATGTGTGTGTGAGAGCAGCACTCACATGCATGACAAAGACTGGGCACTCCACTTTGGGAAGCTTGTCAATGTTCTGATCACAGCGAGGCAGGCAGAAACAGGGGTGCATGGAGAGGGACAGAGAAGGGCGGGGAGGGACAGAGGGAAGGGGAGAGAGAGAGGGAAGGGGAGAGAGAGAGGGAAGGGGAGAGAGAGAGGGAAGGGGAGAGAGAGAGGGAAGGGGAAGAGAGAGAGGGAAGGGAGAGAGAGAGGGAAGGGAGAGAGAGAGA